CTTCAATACATTATTTTTCCGAAATAAGGTCCCATGGGGCGGAAGTAGATGGGCGTGACTTCGCCCACTCTATTATACATCCATGGATCTGCCGCCCTGCCCTATCTGCAGTGCGCATGTGCGAGATGGTCCGCCATATTGCACAACTCCGTACGGCAACCCATCTAGGACACTTGACACAGTGGCGTTTGGCAAAGCACACAAAGAAAACAAAAAAAACCGAGAGAGATGAGTTATTGTTATTACAACGTGACTTCACTATTATTTAACAACTCTTTTTATTGGGTTCTTTTATTTGGGGTTAAGTACATTGTCAGAATAAGTGAGAAATGGATTTAACTTCTGTTAGACAGCTATATGCCATACATTTTTGCATACATTCACAGTAAATATTTATTCAGTATGATAGCTGTCTAACAGAAGTTAGAAACTGAAAATAAGAAGCAGTTTCGGCGCGCTATGCATGGGGCCCCCTTGAGGGGGTTTCCCGACATGTTGTTGCAGTAAATTAAAGGGTGTTTCGGGAGGAGGTTAGGTTGCAGGCTAAGAGATCAACTCAGTGAAAGCACCGCCTGCTGACCAATCAGAGCTCCGTGTGCGGAGTTTAAAGCTATCAAGTCATATTACAGGATAGAGGAAATACAGAAAAACTGCCGTTGCAGGAAAGACGGCCGGCAAAAATCAACTGACTGTGTGAACGTGAAAATTAATAGAATATCCCCTCCCATCTTCACAGCAATCTGACTATTATAACATTAGCGTTAAGAAAGCTTACTTAAATATCTGCCACAACATAAGTAACCGGATCAGAGTAACATTAAGTACAGTCCGCGGCATATCATATCATATCACATCATAATGTATCATATAGGCTATTTCCATAGACTGTATATATAAAGGCTATTTCCTTATTTGAGTCAGCTTCTTGAGCCGTATCTGGCCGTGCAACACTCACAAGTGTCACATACTGTATGCAGAAGTATTATTTTAAGCAACACATTAAGTTGACGAAACACTCGAGTCAAATGTAATTAAAGTCAGATCCACTCGTGTCTTGGACGGGGCAGTGATATCATAAACCTGTCAATGTACGCATTCAAACGCTTTTTCTTTTACCAGCTGTATTCACCTTGCAGGTGCAGCTATGTGGCTTTTATCCTGGATAAAGTGTTTAAGTCATGGATGTTTAAAGTTTAACTTGTTCATATTTGACTAATATTAAAGTTCACTTTCATTCAGGAAGTATGACGCTGCGCTGTCAGTACGCTTGTCCATGTTTGAGATTGGTCGAATGCTCCAAATACCACCCCTTTCATGTGAACGCGCACCTAACTAGATAGGACACGGCTGGCTTGAGCGATCCACTTGATAACCAGCGTCGTAGTACAGTTTAGCGAGAGCGCGTATGTTTTGGATTGGGCCAACCGGCTAACTCAAACATATCCAGGTTAGGTTGAACCAGCTTCGTAGTACAGGCCTCTGGTCCAAGCACTTGCCTGTCAGTAAACAGCGCCCCTGTATACACACACACATTCAATACATACGATACGATACGATACGTATGATGGCTTGAACTAGTGGGAGAAATGGCACTGTTTGTCTGTAGCCAATGCCTTGAACCTCGGCAAAAATGGCATTAGAAGCATTAGAAAGTCAAGGTAAACTTGCGGTTAACTTGCGGTCTGCAATGCGTGTCACGCTTGTGCACACAAGTAAATATATATGCACGTTCATTCTCACAACGCGTCAGACACAAGAAAATATACATTAAAGGGGACCTATCATGCAAAATGCACTTTGTGATGTCCTTTTATACATAAATATGTGTCCCCGGTGCGTCGGGGAACTCACGCAGCGTCAGAAAATAAAACCCTCTCTCTTTTCCTTCGTACCCAAATCTTTTAAAAACATGGGTACGACGAGCGGATACAGATTTGCTGCCGATCTGACGTCAAATCGGCAGCGGACCCACAGAAAATTGCTATCAGAAACAATGCCTGACGTGTTTTGGACGTAATCTCGTCTTTGTTTACATTAGCAAGCCTCGCTAACACTCAGAGCTATAACCTGTCTATAGAGCACATGTGTTTTAAAAAGCAGGAAATAACAAAAGGAACTCACCTTGTGATAAACCCGCAAGAGAAAAAGTATTTGAGCTCCATACTGTTTCAAGAAATAATCCTTGATGTGGTTTAGAACAGGATGGTGTTTTTATCACAGCAGAATTTAACTTTATCTCCGGTAGTAGAATTCTGATCAGGCATTAGCTCCGCTCTCCTCCTTTCTTTTTTTTCAAGCTAAGGACCCCAAAATCCGGGGTTCTCTAACAGGGCTGTAAAAGAGGGGTATGAGCAGTATGAGCATGGCTACAATAGCCGCGTTCACACCCAAGTACTTAGCCATACTTAGTGCCGGCACTTAGTGCCCAGGCACTTATTACCCCAGGGCCACTTAGTACAGATCGCGTTCACAACCGGAATAAGTTCCCTGAGGGAAGATTACGCCAAATGAGCCGCTGACGTCACTTCGTCTTCTTCTGCTTTGGGTTTACTGGCAGGCCGCAAACCACTTCACGGTGTATACTGCCACCCGAAGTCCCCGGCCGGAAGTCCCCGGAGTTGGGGACTGGCTTCAGTAGAAGCTGCTGGGACTGCCAACAGCTTCTACTGAAGCCTTCCGAGTAAATCGCCAGAACGCCGACATCTCCACCGCTCCCATGTTTTATTTTGTGTTGCCATAAGTTAGTCTAGTTAGTTTGTGCGCTGGGCTAATGCTAATGGGGCGTGGTTTGCAATTCGCCCAGCCAATCAGAACTGGGGCACTTTTTTCCACCAGGAAAGTACCATCTCTCAGCAGGCACTAAAAATGGGGGTAAAAGTTCCCGGCACTCAGTGCTCTTTTTGGTGTGAACGCGACATAAGGGGTACTAACGGAACTAAACGCGAAAAGTACGGGGAAAAGTACTCCGGTGTGAACGCGGCTAATGGGTGAACTGTTTGGTATTTTAAGCAAAAAACTTCACAGACATGTTTTGTATAGGTATGGCCCTACAATATATTTTTCCAATATAGCATAATAGGTCCACTTTAATTTACATCAGAATCAGAAATTCTTTAAAAAAAAATGTTTTTAAATGTATAATGGGACACTGGGTTCAGTCCGGATTGATTTGTAGTTCGGTCCGGATCCGGATCTTGGTCCGGAGTTTGAGAAGCCCTGATGTAAACCAAGTGTTGCTTGCTAAACGCTTGTCCTATGTCAACAAGAACAATTGGGTTTAATTACCTTTAAAGCAGGTTATTTATGCACATCAAATATGTTGTCTGGCCTCACAGTCTTAACTGTGAAAAAAGTTTAAAAATGTAAATGTTTATATATTTTGTGTTACGCATAGATTTGTATTTATATTTTACACAACTCCCCTTCTCTTTTAAGCAGCTGTTTTCTGTCATATAATATTATATACTGTCCAAATTATTGCATTAAAAATAGCAAAACACAAATTGCACAGAATGTCATTTGATGCAATATTCTACCCAGTTAGTGCTGATCGTATACCTCCTGGGTTTTAGGCGGAAGTGACGTAACCTGCCACCCAGGACAAGAGACGAGCATGAATACATCATTTTCCCACAGAAATATCATAAATATAATATTTTGAGAATTCATAACTTTGAATATTACCAATATTTAAAAAAATGACATCTCACAAGAAGAAAAGCACAGATGGGATTTAACACTCAGAAGCCACGTGTGCGTTTGATTTCGGATTACAGTGACACACACAGTACGAGGTTTATTTAAAAAAAGGGGGGAGATTTTTTTAGGAGTGTGCTCCCTCTCACTCCTATTCACTGTCCTCCGGATGCCTGCAGGACTCCAGAGTCGCGAAGAGCCCATGCTAAATTCAATTAAATGTGTCTACTTTTACTACTACTTTTTGTGCTGTCAGTTGCTGCAAAAGTTGCCGACTTCTCATCCACGATTACGTCACTTCCGCCGCCTAAAACCCAGGAGGTATACGATCTAGCACTAACCATATTCTACCCTAGGCTGCTAGAGTGTGCAGCTTTAGAAATTCTGGTATTTGTTCAACGTCATAATGATTATGCTGCCACCTTTTGGTACAGCAGTTAGAAATAAGCTTCAGAATATTTACAATAAATTATAGTTCGATACAAATAATACCTCATCTCATTGCTATTTCTAGTTTTGTCAAATATAGCTTTATTATCATGTGTTTTAAGTTGTGACCCAAACTATAACTTAACAAAAGTCTCATCAAAATGAGTGTAAAAGTGAATCTAAAATAAGGCAAACGTTATCAGAAACACCGAGATTCTTCTTCAAGAGATGATGTCATTTGAACAAATGTTTAATCTACTGCCATAAAGAGAGGTTTACAATTTATAATCTGAGTTGAACACTGTGATAATAACCTAAGAACACGTTTTCTTTATTTATACAAAACCTGCCAACCTACTTTATTCTTGTAAAACCAGAGGTAGAAAAAGTACTCAAGTATATTGTACTTGAGTAAAAGTAGAAGTACCAGAGTGTATAAATACTCTGTTACAAGTAAAAGTCCTGCATTGTAAATGTTACTTAAGTAAAAGTAGAAAAGTATTAGCATCAAAATATACTTAAAGTAGCGAAAGTAAAAGGCAAAAAGTCGCCTTGAAACCACAATGTCCTCCTTCCTTTACACCAGTAAAACCTTTTTTTTTTAACTACTTTTTTGATCGTGATAAACGCACTTTTTGTCAGAAGCACTTTCCTGCAGACGAGGAGCGGTTTGATATTAACCTCCATCATCACATCCAGAAACATCTCCAGAAACCACCATGAGGACCAGTCACATCCTCCTGCTCTGCATCCTGGGACACGCTCTATTCGCCTCGGTGTTCTGCAACAGTAAGATGACTTAAGATGTTATTCTTTAAAACATTTTCTGTTACACTTCTCAACTCATTATACTTTTCTTTCCTCTCTCCAGTTGGGTTGCTGGTGGTCCTGAAGACTGCTGCTTCATTTACACCCGAGATCTTTGAACAAATGTTTAATCCGCTCGTATTACATTGACCGACGACAGATGCTCAATGACTGCAGCCGTGTAAATTAATCCTTACATTTATATGATATAATGACCAGAATAAGCATAATAATTAAGAAAACGTTTCACAAATGTCCTTTTTCTCATTAAATAAAGTATATTTCATACAATAAGATTTTGAGTCTCCATTTCCTACTTGTATTTGGTTTTAATCTGTTATTTTATTCCCTTTCCTTCCTCCTTTTACCTTTTTATTTCAGTCGACCACGATGAAAAATGCTACCATCTGTGTGGATCCAAAGCTTCCCTGGGTTGTGAGGGTCATGAAAAGTTTGGACCAAGAGAATTTTTATGGTAAATATTTTTATTGATTTTCTCAGTTTTTTAACAAAAGCAAGTGATACAAATTCAGTAAAGATATATACACACATGCTGACAACTCAAAATCTTCATTTCAATCCCACCACCCACCACCCACCCACCACCCTAACCCATTGAGTTACAGGATACAGAGCCCTTTAACAGTAAAATACAGTATTTTCATAATGACATTAGTTCAAGGGGGGCAAAGGAGGAGAAAAAAAAAAGAAAAAAAAAAAACACAGAGATAAACACAAAAAAAAAATAATGATAATGGAATAGAAAAAAAAAGATGCTGCTCACTGCTCACGCTCAATCCAACCTTATTCTTTATCAAGTGGATCTTGTAAGGAGTCATAGAAGTCCAGAAAGGGTTTCCATGTTCTAATAAAGGTGTTAGAGGAGCCCCTGAGTAAGAACTTAATTTTCTCTAGCTGTAAGAAGTACATAACATCTTTGACCCACTGAGAAAAGGATGGAGGGGAATGTTGCTTCCATTTTAGAAGAATCAAACGTCTCGCAAGAAGTGTAGAAAAGGCTTTAACTACCTGGGCACTGTTTGGTAGGGATGCACAGGTCACCTTTGGTGCCAAACCAAAAAGGGCACAGAGCGGGTCAGGCTCAATACGAGTTTTAAACATTTCACTAAAAGATTTAAAAATACATCTCCAGAAAGTAAAGAGGCTGGGACATACCCAAAACATGTGTATTAGGTCTGCTGGCTGGCTTCTGCATCGGGGACAAGACGGTTCAACCTCTGGATACATTTTAGCCAATCTGGCGTTAGTTAAATGAGCTCTGTGTACCACTTTCAGTTGTATCAGGCTGTGTTTAGCAGAAGAGGAAGATGTGTGCACCCGGTCCAGGACTGATTCCCACTGGTCATCCGTCAAAGTTCTTCCCAGATCAGATTCCCAAGCAGCTCTTAAATGTTCAATAGGGTGCGGATTGACATTACCAATGAGATCATAAATCAGTGAAATCAGTCCTCTACGGTCTGACTTTAGCTCGAGGATATGGTCAATATGTGACTTTATGGGCTTATTTGGAAAAGAGCTGAATGTCTTACATACAAAGATCCTAATTTATAGGTAACGAAATAAGTGATTCTTAGGTAGGCTATACAGTTCAGATAATTGAGAGAAAGATGCAAATGTGTCCTCAATGTAAAGATTATAAATTGATTTAATCCCATTATTAAACCAAACAGTAAAAGCTGGGTCTGTACAGGATGGGGTAAACATGTGGTTTGACTTAATGGGGGAGAGAACAGAAGCACCCTGTAGTCCAAAGTGCCTCCTAAACTGAGCCCATATTCTTATTGAATTACTATTACACTCAAATTCAAATTAGTGTTGAGAAGGGGTAAGCCTAAGCCCAGGTGGTGTTGATATGAAGAAAACTCTAATTTCACCCAGTCCGCTTTTTCTGATATCGGTTTGTTTTCAAACCAGTGTATCAACTTCTGAATGTTGCATGCCCAATAGTAGAAAAGGAAATTAGGTAGAGCGAGACCTCATGATCGTTTTGGCCTTTGCATATGAGCTTTACTGATCCGACTAGGTTTATTCCCCCATAGGAAAGAAATAATACATTTATCAAGAGTCTTAAAAAACGATTTCTTAATAAAGACGGGGATGTTTTGAAAAAGATATAAAAACTTTGGTAACATTATCATTTTAACGAGATTGACGCGCCCTGTTAGAGATAATGGTAAGGAGGCCCAGCGGTTCATATCTTGTTTACACTTATTGAGAAGAGTGGTAAAGTAGTTTTTAGTGAAAGTAGTAAGGAGAGAGCGAGTGACCTCAATTCCTAAATATTTGAAGCCATCTTGAGCCCTTTTAAAGGGGAAAAGGCTAGGGGGGAGTACATCGGCTGCAGAGTTTAAAGGGAAAAGTTTGCTCTTTTGTAAATTTAATTTATAACCCGAGACTTTCCCAAATTAATCGAGGATATCCAGGATATAGGGAAGCGATAAGGCAGGCTCGGATACATATAAAAGCAGGTCATCCGCGTAAAGGGACACCTTTACGAGGGCAATGAATAGGTATCTCCATTCGACCCGGTCAATGGCCTTTTCCGCATCAAGTGATGTTACTACCTCTGGGTCTGGTGACCGGGCCGAGTGGACAATATTAAATAGTTTTCTCAAATTTGAATACGAATGTCGGTTCTGGATAAATCCTGTCTGATCAGGAGATATAATATCTGGAATCACATTTTCCAGACGCTTGGCCAGGACCTTAGACAGCACTTTAAAATCTGCATTCAGTAGGGAAATAGGGCGATATGAGGAGCACAACAATAGCCGCGTTCACACCAAGTACTTTGCCGTATTTAGTGCCGGCACTCAGTGCCCCGGCACTTATTACCCCAGGGCATTTAGTACAGATCACGTTCACACCGGAGTACTTTTCCCTGAGGGAAGATTACGCAAATGAGCCGCTGACGTCACTTCGTCTTCTTCTGCTTTGGGTTTACTGGCAGGCCGCAAACAACTTCACGGCGTATACTGCCACCCGAAGTCCCCGGCCGGAAGTCCCCGGAGTTGGGGACTGGCTTCAGTAGAAGCTGCTGGGACTCCCTGCAGCTTCTACTGAAGCCTTCCGAGTAAATCTCCAGAACGCCGACACCTCCTCATCTCCACCGCTCCCATGTTTATTTTGTGTTTCCATAAGTTAGTCTCTCTGCGTTTGTGCACTGGGCTAATGCTAATGCTAATAATGCTAATGCCAGGATAATAAAATGGCGGCTCTACAAAACATTTCAGAGTTGTACGGGGCGTGGTTTGCAATTCGCCCAGCCAATCAGAACTGGGGCACTTTTTTCCCCCAGGAAAGTACCATCTCTCAGCAGGCACTAAAAATGGGGGTAAAAGTTCCCGAGATTAAGTGCTCTTTTTGGTGTGAACGCGACATAAGGGGTACTAACGGAACTAAACGCGAAAAGTACAGTGAAAAGTACTCCGGTGTGAACGCGGCTATTGGGTCTCTGTCTTTTTTCACAAGGAGGGGAGATAGAGGCTTGTCGTAAAGTCATAGGAAGGGAGCCTGAAGAGAGTGCTTCTTTAAACATTGTCTGAAGAATTGGTGCTAGTTGAGGGGAAAACTTTTTATAAAATTCAGTAGTGAATCCGTCTGGGCCGGGTGATTTATTGTTTTGCATTGATTTAATGGCCATAATTATTTCGGATGTTGAAACATCTGCGCTCAATTTAATGTTTTGTTCCTCTGACACAGTAGGAAGAGTAACATTTTGAAAGAAGACCTCAGGGTCCTCATTACATTCTGAGGCATAAAGGTTAGAATAGAAATGCAGCAGAAAAGCTTCATTTATGTCCTCATGATCTATCAATGTCTCTCCTGTATGTGACAGAATTTCAGTAATTGACCGCGCGGCAGCTGTTTGACGAGCTTGCAGGGCCAGGAGCTTGTTCGCCTTGTCTCCAAATTCATAGACATTATGCCTGGATGTCAAAATAAGACGCGTTGCCTCATCAGTAGTTAGAAGGTTGTGATTAGTTTGCAGCCTTAGACGCTCCTTATAAAGATCTGTGGTTGGCGATAGAGAACATATTTCGAGTCAATAATCGCGATTTGAGTGATATCTCTTGTCGCTTTGAATATTTTTTCTCTTAATTCTAGAGGAGTAAGCTATAATATGCCCTCTGAGGTAAACTTTAAGGGTCTCCCACAGTGTGGCGTTAGATATTTCAGGGGAGGTGTTTGTTTCTAGAAATTGATTTGGTCCGAAATGAATTCAACGAAGCGATCATCAGATAGTAGGAGAGGACTGAGTCTCCAAACTCTGTTCGGAGGGGGACGATTTGGAAGATCCAGTTCGAGTACCATGACACTATGATCAGATATAACTATGCTATTTATGAGCAAGTCTTAGCCCTGGGTAATAGTCTATTATCAAGCAAGAAAATAGTTATACGGGTTGTAGGTATGGCGTTGGAGAAAAAAGAGTAATCTCTATTGTGGGGAAACTTAAATCTCCATACATCGGAGAGGGCACATGGCTCATGAAATCCTCACAACTCCAGCTGATTTTGAAAGATTTTGAAGGGAATTTGACGACCTATCCAGGGTTGTGTCCAGTACAAGGTTAAAATCACTCCCATAATAACAAATCCATTCTCAAGCCTAGGTTTTCTAAAAAATAGTTTCTTAAAAAAACTACTGTCATCGCAATTGGGGGCATATACATTTACCAAAATCACTGGGTTAGCAAAGAGCTGCCCAACCACAATAATATACCTTCCATTAGGATCACTAATCATTTCCTTTGAGTGGAAGAGATGTTCTTGTTAATCACTATGGCTGTTCCTCTAGCTTTTGCATTGAACTTGGAATGAAACACTTGACACAGATGAGTTTCTTGTAAGAAAGCTATGTCAACCTTTAGTTGTTGTAAGTGGGACAAACCCAGGGGCGCCGTAAGGGGGTGAAAAGTTAGGACGATTCTAAGGGCCCACTGACAGGGGCCCAAACTATTTTAGAACATAAGAAAACATTTTTTAAATAACCTTTCATCAATAATTAACATTAATAGAACGTTATATTGATAATGTACTCACTAAACTTACGATTCATTTAACTTATTTTCTTCCAAAAGCCAAAGCCTCTGTACACCCCCTTCTATTACATGTAATGGTTTGGTCCTGCCTCCAAACTTTCTAGCAGAGAGTGAGAGCATGTGAGGAGGGATGCTAGTACTTACGTGTGTTGTGTACCATGTCTCAACGACTAACAAAGTCAGGCTTTCAAAAAAGAAAGGAGAGAAAGACAAAAGAGAGGGACTAAAGGGCGACAATATGTCACCCAGTTTTCAAAGAGAAAGGTGGGTGTGGTCCATGAGTGGTGGAAATTAGTCTGTTAGCTAAGCATAGTCCATTGTAAATAATAATTTACTAAGCTGACATTAAGTACTGTTAATATCTTCACAGAAAATTCAGAGGTTTTTCATTTCACTGCTCTTTTAGCTGACATTTAATAAATGCAGGTACATTTTTAGCAGCTATTCATACTAAATCAGTTGTCCCTCCCCCTGGTGCCAGGACCAACAGATCCATCTCTAGGCTCAGCAGCCCTGTCCCCCCATAATGCTGAACCTGAACCAGCTTTTCTCCCAACTGAAGGAGGTGAGTAGCATTGTGTTGAATGACATGCCACTTAACATATCTGAAGGGAGACTGGAATACAACATATATATATATATATATATATATATATTATATATATATATACAAACAAAAAGCTAACATCTCATTTCAATTATACATTTCAAACACAGTATTTTCCCACATATTTAAGTTATATTTATTTGGATTTATGCATTCATGTTGAGAATGTTCCATTCAAAAATGTCATTATAAAAAGGCATTTACACCATAAAAGATGACTATTGAGATCTATTGTCAGAAATGTTAGTCTTATATCAAATAGTGAATTCTACTGCAGCAGAATGTTGCACGTCTGCACAGTGTTATAGTTTCACAGCTCAGTGTCAGTAAATATTGTGCAGTTAGTATTGGACCACAAGATAGATGGAAGCCTGTACAGGTAGAGTTATTTAAAGCATAAATGAGTGGGTTGGGTTCTGGAGGTGTGGTTACAGCAATTGTGCTTGGTTGGCGTGGCCTGTGCCTGGTGGTGGGGCCCAATGTGATATATTTCCATGGGGCCCAAAATCCCTGGCGGCGTCCCTGTGAAAAGTTAGGACGATTCTAAGGGCCCGTGACTGACAGGGGCCCAAACAATTTTAGAACATTAAGAAAAAAAACTTTAAGTAACCTTTCATATTCATCAATAATTACATTAATATAAACGTTATATTGATAATGTACTCAGTAAACCTACGATTCATTTAACTTATTTTCTTCCAAAAGTTAATTATCCAAAGCCTTTGTACAGCCCCTTCTATTTACATGTAATGTTTGGTCCTGCCTCCAACCGCGGTGCTGCACCGGCACTTAGTTACTTTCTAGCAGAGAGTGAGAGCATGTGAGCAGGATGCTAGTACTTACGTGTGTTGTGTACCATGTCTCACGACTAACAAAGTCAGGCTTTCAAAAAAGACAGAGAGAAAGAGAAGAGAGAGGGACTAAAGGGCGACAGTATGTCACCCAGTTTTTCAAAAGAAAAGGGGGTGTGGTCCATGAGTGTTGGAAATTAGTCTGTTAGCTAAGCATAGTCCATTGTAAATAATAATTTACTAAGCTGACATTAAAGGTGGGGTAGGTAAGTTTGAGAAACCGGCTCGAGATACACTTTTTGTTATGTTCCATGGAATGCTCTTAACATCCCGATAAATGAATATCTTAAGTGCTTTGACAAAAAATCCATAACAAAATGTCATCTGTGGAAGCCGTAGTACTGTAAAAAGCACGACCAATCATTTTAGCCGGCCCGGCTAAATAACTGGATGGCCTACCTGCCTGTCAGCCTTCCATCTGTGCACAAACTTATCTTGTGCCCTCATTGGTCATGTGCGCGTGTGTGTGTGTTGGAGGAGGGGCTCTGTCAGGAAGTGGCAGATTTTTTTCCAGCTGTGTATTTTCAAATTCTAGCGCACTCGAGCTGGTTTCTCCAAAATTACCTACCCCACCTATAAGTACTGTTAATATCTTTATAGAAAATTCAGAGGTTTTTCATTTCCACTGCTCTTTTAGTTGACATTTAATAAATGCA